TAAAACTAAAACTCACATTAATAGTCTTACTGTCCCGGATCAGTTTGTCGTGGATCTGCTTTTCAGCTTCATGTCTACATTTAGCGTAGTTAGCATCACAAGTATCCAGTACCTCATGCCGGTGCTGTTCATTATGTAATTTACCAAACTTTGCCACAAAACTATGCGACTTTTGGGCGCACCCTGCTACCTGTTCACCTAACTATCATAACAATATTAATAAATTAAAATAATTTATTTAAAAACAGTAATTACATTATTTTTCATAAACTGTAATTTTTTACTTTTAAAACAAATACTATAATTTGAAGTTTAAAAATTTTATATATGGATTATGGATCAATTAGCCTTTAACTTTTTTGACTATCAAGGTTATTTTACTGTACCTTTTTGAAGGTGGGCTCCCATTTCTGGTGGAACTGGTGGTCGCATTTGTGCATTTGGTCCATTTTCTCGTCGCTTATGACATGCGGGTCACACATCTTGGCCTTAATTTTAGGGTCCAGTTCCTCCTGAAACTCGGAGCTCGTGTCACAACTCACTGAAAATAAGGTGATTATCAAAACTATTACTATTAAATGTGTTTTCACCATGTTGACTACTCTAGTAAATGATTGCTTTTTGTTTTAACATAGTTTATTATGTAGAAAATATTCATTATCATTTCTATAATTATAATAATAATTATAATTAAGCTGATTAAATAACTCGTATGAGGGCAAAATATTTTCAATTTTACAATGAAAATAACATAACAAATAAAACATGTGTTAAAATAAATTTAATTATAGTATGCCCACTGTAATAACATATTAAGGTTGTAAAAATAAATATATTATTGTATAAATATTTCTCAATTACATGTACATGGTAAAATAAATGCTTTAAAATTAACTTTATTATAATAAACGAAATTTTTATATTATAAAGTTTTACAAATATTAATGCAATTGTTTATTATTATAGATCATTTATTATTTATTTTTCAAACAAATATTTTTTGACATTAATTAATTCCCAGAGCAGTTTTATAGCAGTCCTATAAAAAATTTATTTAAAAATATTAAAATTAAATAACATAAAAAAATAAATACGTACATTTCTCAAATTATTAACAGGGATCATTTTGTCCTTGTAATTGTCCTGCATAGTTTTATAACATTTTGCGTTATAAGTGCCGCACAATCTAACCAATTGGACCATGTTCATATAGACTTTGACATTGAATTTAGCCGGCTCAATCGCGCTATTGTTAACCATGCATTTTGACGATTCTTGGTAGTACTAAAATATTAATTACATTTAATTAAAATTATTATAAAAATAGTGTATCAAGGACATATACGTCAGTCGATATAGGTTTCTGTTGTTTTGCCCAATTCTGGTCGCAAGCAATCATTTTCTGGAGTTTCTCATCGTTTATGACATTAGAGTCGCAAACCTGAGCTTTAAGACTACTGTCCACTCCGATGGGCATATCCTGTAACGATATGGTAGCCCATAATAGTAGACATAAGACTATAGTTAAATTTGTAACCATGATTATTAAGTGTCAGCAAAATATTAATTTAAATGAGTTTAATTTTTAATATTTTATTATTATAAATAATAATTTCTATTTACATGAAAACGTGTTCAAACATTTCCATTCGTGTATTTTAAAATTTATAAAATGATCAATCATATTATATAAAGTAAATATGCACAAATAGAATCGATTTGTTTATTTTAGCATGTGTAGAAATTATATTAAATATTGAATCAAAAAATATTAAATC